CCATTACTCTTTTGTAACCCCTAGACCGCACATCCTAGCTAATGTGTCTGTGTATATCCTGGTCTGCCAGACTGAGGCTGGTAAACTATTTAATCTCCATATTCTCCACATATACCCCTGATTAGCAACTGGTGCTGCACAGCTGGTAGCAGTTAGCCAGGTGGTTAGATAATGGGAGAAATGTCTGTTTATTTTCCTTTTGCTTGCTTTCTTTGCAAACACATCTCTAAAATCTGTCTGAAATTCTGTCTACACAGACCGCTGTCATGAGGGTGGGGCTTCATATAAGATCGGAGACACCTGGAAGAGACCCCACGAAACAGGAGGCTACGTGTTGGAGTGTGTGTGTCTGGGTAATGGGAAGGGAGAGTGGACCTGCAAACCTGTGGGTGAGTCATTCAGACAGACTGTGACTAACAGACAGCTGCTGGGAAAACTGGCAAATAGCCAGGAAATTGGAGATCCTGGATTATCATTATTGTGTCTTTTTCAAAAGTTGGTTAATGAGTAAAATGAGTGTTTATCTACATATTTGATAGAACTCAGAAATGACTAGGCATTTTTCCACTTCTGATTCCCTAATCAGGTTTTGGTTAGATGGCGGAAATTACAATATGTTTACATTTAAATCCCATTGGCTTTTGGTCATGGGAACCAGGGCCATAGTAACGTCCGGTTAAGCCTACAGAAATAGGTTATCCCTTCAGCTGTCTATAGATTTAGCAGCTCATCAGTCTCTGTTTCCTGCAGCGGAGCGTTGTTATGACAACTTGGCGGGAACCTCCTATGTTGTCGGGGAGACTTGGGAGAAGCCATACCAGGGATGGATGGTGGTGGACTGCACCTGTTTGGGAGAGGGAAGTGGACGCACCACATGCACCTCCAGAAGTAAGTATTTATAGCTTTCAGCTCCCAAATGTATCATTTATTATTTTCCTCCTTTGCTATGTGTATGGGAAAATCATTCTTGAAAAATACATGTGATGCAGCTTTCACACACTTTTTTATGAAAGACCTTTTCTCTTTTTGTTTCTTTTCTCGATTTAAATATAACTCTACTTGTCCAGAAACAGAGTGGGAAAGCTGGGTCGTTAAGGGCAACACAAGCAGGAAATTAAATTAAATGCTTCTGAAACGCTGCTATTTTTGAACAATTCACGTGTCAATACACAAGTCTGCTTAATAATTAAAGATACAAAGATAAACTCTCTAGCCTCATTGGCAGAGCCACAAGCAAACCTTGTATCTTGTGATTTATTGGAATATTTACCAGTTGTGTTTCCAATTAGGACCATTACACACATCTGTAAAGATGATGGCTGGTGTAACAGATGAACATTTATGTTATTCCCTGTTGGACTTTTGTCGCATGAAAGACTTCGGGGTGGCCTTGGAAGTTTTTTAGTGGATGTTATCAATAAACGATCATCCATATGTTCAACAAGTTATCAACAACATTCACAATCACAAACATGGAAACAGCTGGTAGCCAGGAGGAGATACTCCCCGCAGGATGACTGCGGTCTTTTAAACATGCACTCAGCACATGAAAGCTTCCCACGAAAAAAAGTCCACATTGCCGTCTCAAAGTTTCTAATTATTTGTATTGAATTCCTCTCATGTACTCTCTCCCAGATCGCTGTAACGACCTGGATACTGTGACCTCTTACCGTATTGGGGATACCTGGACAAAGACAGACGCCCGAGGCCACTCACTCCAGTGTCTGTGCACTGGGAACGGACGAGGGGAGTGGAAGTGTGAGCGATATGCTTCACTTCACACCACTGGCCTGGGTGAGAAATGATAATATACCCGTCTCCTTCTTTTTTTGTCTTCCCTCCTCCCCATCTGTGTGAGGAGAGTAGAATGTATACCAGAGACAGATGCTGTCAGGAGGGAGAGATAAGAAGTGCCAAGTGTCCAAGTGAGAAAGACGTGTGTTGAAAGTCATGACCATGACCTCATGAGAAAGAGAGATGGGGAACCAGGGAAATAAAGAAGGAGAAATTAAACAGGGGAACATTAGTGCTTGAAGTGGTTTGAAGTGATTATTGGGTGTGAGATGGAAACATATGCTCCTTCTGACTCATGGACAGTAAAAAACCTCAAGCTTTATTGTAGCTTTGCTTTTGCAAATAGCACATAATCATTGATAGCGTGGTTCAGTCCTCGTCCAGTGGAAATGAAAGCCACATATTTATTTCATTGTAGGAAGTTATGCAGTACAACAAACAGATTGTTTCAGCTGAACTCATCTAAACTCGAGTGACTGTTGCATGTTCAAACATGTGTAGACGTGTGGTATAATTGTAACTTTTAGCAACATCATCACTGAGACAATATAGGTGGCAACATCCCTTTTTCATGCAATTGGACATGTCTTTTTTCATACTTATGAAAAGAAAATATTACAAATTAAAATACAGTCGTTAATTTCATTACAATTGGTCTTTTTGATTCTATAGATTTGTCCACAATTCGCCAACAGTTTAGATAATTGCTAAATATATTTGAAGAAACTATTTCAGAAAAATGTTGATACAAAAAAAGATGTCTTCATGTGTAATCAACTGGGGCAGTTTATTGAAGGTATATAATAGTTAACATTTATACCCTATTCAACTTTATTATCTCCCATTAATTGGTAACTTTATATTTGGGAAGTTTTCTTATGTGATACTGTTGCTATACACTAACCTGGATAAATGTTACTTTTCAGGTACTGGCTCTCGTGTGATCACTAACATCCAGCCTGCAGTCTACCAACCTACCAGTGTTTCTGAGGTTCCCCAGGAAGGACCCTGTCGAACGGATGCAGGACTTTCTTACTTCATTGGCCAACGCTGGATGAAGAACCAGGGAGCCAAGCAGTTGATCTGTACCTGTCTTGGGAATGGAATCAGCTGTGTGCAGTGGGGTAAGAGATGTTCCCTTTACACAAATACAGCATTAACCAAAATCTGACATAATTTGCTAATCATTTTGCTAAAAGGCATGAAACCAATACATTTGTGAAGTTGTGTAATTAAGGACCAAACCCAGCCTTAATGAAGTTAAGGCAAACATCTCAAATGTTTTCATATGCTCAGTCATATTAACTGTATTTGTGTGGTTTCCTGTCTTGATGCAGATGGACCTTCTCCAGTGTATGGTGGCAACTCCGGAGGTCAGCCCTGTGTGTTTCCCTTTGTCTACAAGGGCAATACCTACCACTCCTGTATCTCTGATGGGCGCAGTGATGGACAGCTCTGGTGTTCCACCTCTTCTGACTATGAGACAGAACAGAAATATTCTTTCTGTACTGAGAAAAATGGTGAGTTATTTTGTTGTTAATATTATAAGGTGTGAATTGTGCGACTTTGTGGAAAATGTACTCCATTAAACCTAAAAATAGCTACTTCTGAGAAGCTTCACTGTTATATGGGTAGTATATCTGGTGTAGCTACTGCATATTGTTCCTTTTTTTTATTTAAAGAAAGTTGACTGGATCATTTTGTTGTTGGAAAGACCAACAGAGGTGATTTTCTTTCTGTAGTAAAAGTATTCAGTGAATCTTCTTAGATGCGGCTAGCTAGCATCTAGCATGGAATAATTAAGCTAGCCTAGCGTGATATTGTGAGTTAAATCAAATAAAATCAAGTTTTATTTATAAAGCACATTCGGTCGAGCCAAAGTGCTATAATAAAAACACATTACTAAAATCACAATAAAAGACAACAAATTACAACAGATATATAAAAAACACAGGGAAAAGTCAGGAGTCGTGCTCTGCTCTGACTAAAAGGCCAGGGAGAAGAAGTGTGTCTTAAGAGTAGATTTAAAAACCCCTAGGGTCTGGGCCGACCTCACATGGAGGGGCAGAGTGTTCCAGAGCCTAGGGCCAGCTGCTGCGAAGGCTCGGTGCCCTCGGGTTTGAGCCTGGTCTTGGGCACTATCAGCAACAGCTGGTCAGCAGACCTTTAAGCTCTGGCTGGGGTGTAGCGCTGGAGGAGTTCAGCTATATAGACAGGAGCCAGCCCATTTAGGGCTTTAAAAACAAATAAAAGGATTTTAAAATCAGTTCGGAACCGAATTGGAAGCCAGTGTAGTGAGGCCACAATTGGGGTGATGTGGTCACGCTTTTTGTGGCCTGTCAGAAGACGTGCAGCTGCGTTTTGGACTAGCTGCAGGCGTTTAATTGAGGCCTGGTCCATTCCCACGTATAGAGCGTTGCAGTAATCCAGTCTTGAGTTTACGAAGGCATTAATAACCCTTTCTAAGTCTTTAAAAGATAAATACGGCTTGGTTTTGGCCAATAGTCTTATTTAAAAAAAAATAGGATTTGACTACGGTGCTGACCTGCTTGTCAAATTTAAAAGTGCTAGTGAAAGGTCACTCCAAGGTTCATGACAGAGGGGAGGATGTGTTAAAACCCAACACATCAATCGAAGTTCAGAAGGGACCTTCAACTTCTGTGGTCTAGCTGTTTTTGTATTTAGATATTTTTAGGGCTGTGAACTAGCTTGTCCTCATTTATACTAACGTTAGCTCAAACAGCTAAAGTGCAGGGTTTTTAACAGTAGCCTATCAAGGGGTTTCCCTTGATTCCCTATTCAAAATGTGTCAGCAAAGTCAATTACACATTTAATATCAATTTAAGCACATTTAGGTAATAGCTGTTTAATAAAACTAGCTAACTTTATTGAGTAGTCTGGTTAACAACTAAAAGCCTGGAAAGGCCTCAACAAGTATCTGCATCACAGCTACTTTTTGTGAATATGTTTGGTATAAACTATATACCATTAAAACAATAGTTTAATATATTCTTGTGTTTTTTCTTCAAACAGTAATGGTGGTGACACGAGGCGGTAATTCAAATGGTGCTCTGTGCCAGTTCCCCTACCTCTATAATGGAAGAAACTACACGGACTGTACTGCTGATGGACGTAGAGACGGCATGAAGTGGTGTGGCACAACAACAGACTATGATGCAGAACATCGCTTTGGCTTCTGTCCTATGGCTGGTATGTCTTTGTGTCTGTGTGATGAAGAGATAGGGAATGACAGGAACACAGAGATCCTAAATGTTCGGGCTGGAGGGGTTGGAGTTGTTTGAGATGTGCAGATCAAGGTCACACTGTAATCAGTTTCAAGCAATGAGTTGCTGTCTCTCAAATATGATAGCCATGGGGCCACTAACGTGATTAGCCCGGCTAATTGTAAGGTCCCTCCCAGTCTTAAGTCAAATATTTCTCCACCCAGTCTGAATCAACAAGTTAACATGGCCTTTGTATTGAGACCACGCAGTGACGATGAAAAGATTTAATGGGTATTCATTTACATAAAAGCTGTTATCAGAGGGATGTTAGAAGGAGTCAGGACTCATGGCGCAGACGTAATCTAATTTACAGTTCTTACACCCTTTTATTTGTAAGAAATGTGTTGTTGTGATGTTTAGGTGCCAATTAGGTCTCCATGGGTAACAAAAGAGGCAGAAGCCAGCGAAACACTAGGGGGGCGATGACAGGGCACTAATGTCTCTGAAGGAATAATCAAATGGTAATGATGTTGCCTACAGGTTGTTTAACACAGACTCAAAGCTAACAACATCTTTGGGACTGATTGAGTAATCAAGCGCCTGCATGTTGATGTCTAGATAATATGCCTAATTTAATAGTCTAAATTACAACATTGTGGTGACATTTGCCAAATTCAGCTAGACAGCTAGACATGACAAATGCTGTGAATGTTAATATTATTTCTCTAAGTTCTTTAAACAAAATTGTATTGAAACACTAAGATGTGTCTTAGCCATTGGTCAAGTATAGTTTTCAGTCAGAATTAGTGACTATGTTATAATATCAACAATTATGTATGAAGTAACTTAAAAAATAAATATCTGTTCCTGTTATCTCAATTAAAGAAGTCCTTGGTAGAGTCTTAAGTTGATAATTATGTGAAAATAGTCTTTTTGGCAGCAGTATTTACAATTTACAGGATTTATCTGGGATATATTGTCTTAGAATTCTGGGAAAAGGATTTATTTGATCTAGAGCTAATCTTCTGTTGGTTTTTTGAAGAGTAGCAAAAAAAGACACGCAGTACTTTTAGGAAGTTCATCATGTGTGCATATGGACAGCCTAGAGAACAGGTATTTGTAATGGTTTTATAAAGTACATTGAACATGATGAGATGATCATACTTTTTTTTTAAATGTTCTGTTTAAGCTTTAATTTTCTTCAGAAATTCCTTTTATATGGCTACGTCGGTGCTGGGACCCACCTTTTGGCCGACACCCTGTCTTTAACAATACCCTGTCAAGATTTAAAGAGGAGAAAAACTGCGTTCATGCCCTTTAGCTAGTGTCAGAGCGGGTTGTCTGTGTTAACCTCAGCAATCAAAGCAGCAGGGGGTCTTTGATATTGACATTAATGACTTCACAGGGATTGTCAAAACAAACACGGTACTTGAGATGTTAATGGCTGTGGTTAAAGGAAAATAATAGACCCTTGACCCACCTGTGGCAGTCCTACGGGAAGATGCTGGATAGGCTAATGTGGTCCCCATCTCTCCTGCACCAACTGCAGCATTTACATTGTTAGATCCACTACCTCTGCAACAATATAACATAATTACTTATTTAACAGTTTTGCATCACACTCATTCTTTTGGAAAAAGTGTTTTTCCCCACAGCATCTCAGTTGGAGTCTCATAACATAGTTTGCTATTTCTGAATACTTTTTTCCTGGAAGAAAAGGGTTGTAGCTCCCAGTGCTGTTGGCTGCAATATCCAAACAGCCATTTAAGTTTAAAATGGTCTCTTTCATAAAACCACTGGTGTATTTCCTATAAAAGTATTGACTGGTTCTGAAGACATAAATGTAGCTTGACTGTAGAGTGTTAACACAGGGTTCAGTTGATGCCAAATATATTTGAAAATATATGAAGCGCCATATCATCAAACACCTCAGTTTTGGCTGCACTCCAAGACAGCATATCCGCTCTTTATCTCCAATGCCGCTTCCCTTCCCTATATGGAGACAAACAGATATGTACTCAGATGCATCCATATCAGCTTAGTCTGCACCTCTGGCTCTACAACATGTTCAAGCAATGACATTTAGTATGGAACTGACTTGTGTTTCGACCATATATGCTACTTTTTGAAAACAAAACAAGCTCTGCTGCTGTATTACATCAGGGCAGCTTTGTGGCTATACAGACCAATAAGTAGAGGCACTTTCCCCCCCCTTGTGCAAACGCATAGATGCAGGTCTCTGCCTGTCCCACCCATCTTCAAAACATTTCTATCATACCTGATTAAAAATGACTCACTCTTTATAATTACCGGCCAACATATGGGGAACACACACAGCCATTCATACGCATGAGGACACGAGACAGCTGCTGCTGGCTTTCCATCCTGGAAAATCTTGTCTATGGGCACAGGTGTTCTGTAATGGCTGTATCCTCTACACTACAGCCTTGTGTTTTAGTAATTGTAGGGTATAATCGGTGACCTCCGATGGGGATCATTTGTCACAATGTGTGTTTAGTATTTATTATCTCGATGCAGGAATGCACTGCTTCTGTTTACTAACTTGTTTTGTTGCACAATTTTGTGTGGCATATTCATTTTTTAACCAAAGTTGTGTATGATTTTTCTCGGGTTTTGTCCTAAATTTTTCAAACTTGAGTAAAGATTACAAGAAATGACTATGCGTTGTTTTAACTGGTTTTATCCTGTGTGTTGTAGCCCATGAAGAAGTGTGTACAACCAATGAAGGGGTGATGTACCGTGTGGGAGACCAGTGGGACAAACGGCACGAAGTTCTGGGTCACATGATGCGTTGTACATGCGTCGGCAATGGCAGAGGAGAATGGAGTTGTGTTGCTTACTCCCAACTTAAAGGTGAGAGTGTGTGGCTGTATGAGAGAGGGGCGGACCCTGTTAGGTGATTGAGTTGCTGCTGTGGCAGGGTTTCTGTGGGGTCATAATTAGAGGGTAATATTGTAATACTCAGAGTGAAGAGGTGAAAGGTTACAGGTGATATAATCACTCATCAACCAAAAGGTTAAAAGTCAGGCTGCACACCTGCATTTTACAGGGCTTCATTTGCACCTGCATCACACACCCTGTGAAAAAGCAGATGTGAAAAAGCAGAGAGGTTGCTAGTAAAGAAGCCTGATTTTGCTTTGCTCCTCTCTGTCATTGCATGCTTTTACATATCTGTGTTTGTTTGCCTATTACAGACCAGTGTGTTGTAGATAGTTTGACCTATGAGGTGAACCAAACCTTCACCAAACAACACGAGGAGGGTTACACCATGAACTGCACTTGCTTTGGACAGGGACGTGGGCGCTGGAAGTGTGATGCCATCGGTGAGTTCACAGGTTTACACCTAACAGACTGCACCATTTATACCATCAAATTAATTTGATTTAATGGTCTCAATACAATCCCCATTTGATAATGATGTATATGTATTACTGTTTCACTTCCACACATAAATATGCACCATTTTGATTGGCACCGCTTGTTGAAAATGTAATTCATTTAAAACAACTGCAGAACCTCACACGTGAAGCATGATATTTGAGGGCAGCATCTTTAGTGTGATAACTCTTGCCTGTGGTCACTGTTGAATGAACTGTTCCTTTGCAACTCTGCCCTCAGATCAGTGCCAGGAACCGGAGACGAGAGCCTTCTATAAGATCGGAGAGTCTTGGGATAAAGTCATCCAAGGAGTCCTGTACAAGTGCTACTGCTATGGCAACGGCATCGGAGAGCTCAGCTGCGAGCCCCAGCAGTCCTACCCCGGTAAAATTGTTTAACATACATTAGAGCTCCGCAATGTTGTGATACTGTCTCACTTCTGACAATATGCGATTGTTAACAGTCAGATATGTTCTATGGAAGCTTTGAGAAGTGGTTGTGAAAGGCTTTGCTGGGCAGTGTTGTGTTATCATTCAAATTCAAATGATATCATTGTATATATTGGCCAATGGTAAAAGAGAAAAGTCGCATACAATGACTGCTCTATGGCACGATTGGTATAAACGATTTAAAAGGCGAGACACCCCATGTGAATAGGGTAATTTTTTTTACTTAAAGATATCAGCTATACATTTCTCCAGTTAATTACTTACAATAAGGCAATTGTTTTTTGTATTACAAGTTTTCTGAAATATCATGTTTAAATATGCAAATGAGCCATTATCTCTAATCTCTCTCTATTAAATTGGCACATATTTTGACACATTTCAGGAACCAAAATCTGAACTTTGGATAAAGCCAGGTTCAAAATTCTTGTTTCATTTTGTAGTCATATTAGTATCTAAGGCTTTTACTGAAGGGATTTTGGATATCTCTTTTTATCACTCCATAAATCAGAAAATACTGTCAACAGCCCTAAAATATCCATTTCCGCCATGTTTTTAGGTATACAATGTTATATAATTCAGGCTATAAATGATATATGAACAAACCATTCTGTAAAAGCCATCATAATATTGATAGGAATATAACTGGAAGGTTTGGTGTGTCTACGTGCTACTGAAGTGGAAATTTCGAACTCAGAGTAGGAGAAAAAACTAATTTTGAGAAAACGACCTTTAAAGATTGCTGTGAGGTGCTAGCTAAACTCTCCTGTTATTTGGATGAAGCTTGCGCCTCGACGCACTCCTTGAAGGTATTTCATGTTCGGGGTCATTTGTTTTTTGTATAACCTTGCTTCGTGCAAGTGACAATTGTTGTCGTCTTCTCTGTGAACGTTTTTTTCACCGTTCTTTTGCCATTTTGAGATTTAAATTTCTAGCGGAAAGCTAACCAGGAAGTGTTTTAGCACACCACGTGACGCATCTGAACGAATCACATTGTCAGAAATTGACACCAGCCAATGAGATTTCGTTTCTTGGTTTAAGACCCCTTTGTACTTTCACGATTGGTTGCTGATACAAAGGAAATGACCATATTTGGATCCGATGAGATTGTGCAGGAGAAACTGAGCTTTCCAACGATATCTCTGATGACATGGTGCAAACAGCGGTCGCGGTACTTTATGTTAGGTTAGAATGCTAACTTTTGGTGAATTTTGGTGAAATGTGCTAGTGCTACTACAAAATAGCACAAAATCTCAAAATTGACCAGCGCATGAAAAACAATGTTTTTGCCTGCCGTGTCTCGCCTTAAATCAATGCATTGAATTAGCTTGATTTGTAATTTTTCAGTTTTTATTAGCAACATTTTATTCCTCACTGTTTAATCCATTATGCTTCTCAAATAGCACAAACATAATATAAGATTATTTACATTTACATTTGAACATAAAAGTACATATACGGCCACATACTATTTTAACTAATAATAGTAATAATGTAAAATCCCTCATATGCCTTGAGTTTGTTTTCCAACTGTTAACAACTTGATCCTGTTTCAGTGTCTGGTACCATTTCATTTTATGATGTTTTATGATGTTTTTTAGAGTTCATCAAAAGTAGTTAAAGCTTTGAGTTCTTAAATAGGAAATCTAGCTGGATTTCTATTTGAATTCTGGGGTTTTGCAGGTTAACGAATGGTCAATATGTTCACAGTAGGTGTAAAATAGATACTTATTTCTCACTTTGTTTAGTATTTCTGATGGTAAAATGTGCAAACTTTCCAACTTTGCACTCCAACTCCTGCAATTAAAATATTTGTTTATGTCACCTCTAAAATAAGGCCCTTGACTTTGATGTGAAACAGCCAGAGATGGGAGGGGTTGTGATATCCTCTTTTTACAGATACACCCCCCACTCTGAGCATTTGTTCCTGCTAGCATGTGGTACATCCCTTGTGCTGTTGCCACAGCTGTACAAAGCAGCAGAGTGCACGTGTGTGTATACAAACCCCCCCTTTACACACACACACCTACCCCGTGCACACCTTTGAAGACCTGTTTAACAACAGTTGTGAACTTTGTAGATTTTAGCAATCACTGAAAAAGTAACCTCATGTCTTGAAGTTAAAACAAACATAATAAACAAAAAAAGCCATGCTTCATTACAGAACATTATGCAAAGATTTAGAGGCTTTATTATAAATGCAGAGTAGCTACAGTGTAGTTGTTGGCAGTGAGAATCTAAAGTCCCAGGCTCTCCCAACGGTGCAATATACAATAATCCTAAGACATTTAAAGAAAAAAAACCTAAAATAGTGCAAGAAAGTACTGCAACTGACCTAATTTCTGCTTGGCTAGACAGTCCTACTGCAAAATAACTTCAAACAAACAAATCTTTCTTTCAGTTTTGTCTTTAATTTAAGTTCCCTTCTGGGTAGGTCTGGATCTTACTTGTTAGTGTTCAGCCCCCTTTGTCATTACAACTGACCACGTTCTTCACATTCTTGTATGGCATCCACCAATAAACCCACATTTAGAGTCGCTCCTACTTCTTTTACATGTCCCTAGTTCTGCCTAAAACTGCACAGTATGATATATTTGTTATTTATGCTTGTGGAAACAGAACTTCGTAACGCCTTCTTTAAAGAACTTGAACTTGTTTGCTCTGTGTGTGGAGCAGGTTGATGGTAGATACTAAATGTAGGGCACTATTGCTCCGTAAGTGGCTGTAATGGCAACCAGCTGTGAACTTGCTCTGTGAGTGTGTGAGTATGTGTGAGTGTGTGTGCGTGAGTGTGTCTGGGCAAACAAAATACAGCATGCTAAGATTTAAGGGCAGCAACAGGCAAATCCAGACTCAGAGGCACATACTGGGTAAAACACCATAAAAGGTAAAAATGGAAAACCCCAGTGAGGGATATTTTAAAAAGGGGTTTCACAGGTCTCCGATTTAGCACTACACTGATAAGATGTAAAGAAAAAGCTTTTTTCTTCTCCACTGTCTGCTGTTATCTATGTCTGGAGTGTAGTTTTATCTTCAATCTTATCTTATTGTTAGGATAACTCTCAGCATTACTTCCCCTTTACTGTGGTGAAACCATCCGTATCTAGAATCAATGTTATGTCTCTGTGCAAAGTAAGGATGGATGTACTTGTGAATGTATGTGTGCTACCCAGATGTATGCATGTTATGCTGGGAGATTATGTATGTGTACATGCAGTATATCCACCGCATGTACACACGCGCATCCGTTTTCATTTGCGTCCCACATCTGATTCTGTGTAACCCTTACCCTCGCCAGTGGCCTGTGGCTCTGTGGGTCTGTAATAGGCAGTAATTGGTCCCAGATTGTTTTTGAGGTCTGTATATCTGCCTCCAACTTCTGGTTAACCGAGCCACTTGCTCACAAACTTTGATTACAGGTCTGCTATATGGAAAAGTGGTTAGAAAACCCCAGTTCTTTATAGTAGCTACCAGTTTCTATCAGCACAGCTCATGTCGGTAGTCTGCTTGCCACATGACTTTTGTTTACATTAAAGGTGACTTGATGCGCTTTTTTCATTTCCGAAAAAGATACTTACGAGCCTCTGCCTATGTCATTTTGCATTCTCAGCCTAGCACCTTTTATATTCTACTTGTGTGGTCTGTGCATCTGTTTAATAGAATCAATTGAAGCGGCCCCATGATTCTTTTTGGTTTTCCCTTTCCTGTAGTGTGTTATATAGGTTTGTATATGGCCTAGAAAGGCTACAATCCCAAATCTTTGTTGTAAAAATATTCTACTATATTTACTTTTTATTTGTGCTGCTCTTTTACAAATGAGCTGTAGTCTGTCAGAGAGAAAATGTAAGGTATGAAAAAAGTGATTTAATAGAGGACGTTAAAGAGGGAAGGAAGTGAAGTAAAGGTCTTCTCCTCTCTAGCTGTTACATTTTGGGCTGGAATCTCACAGGAGCATGCTAGTTTTCCCTAGCTATTTCTGTTTTCTGTGCTGGAAAATACTGCAGCACACTCAGTAATACTCACTTTCAAGTCATATCATGTAAAACTGCAGGGTTTTTTTATGTTCTCAGATTGTAGAACAGCCAGTATCCCCACAAATAAGATTGTGTGTCTGCTTACCAACGTAAATATTGAATCAAGATATTTGTTATTTACAACATTGAACAGTGCCCCTTCTTATCTGTTTAATCTCTACATGATTTCATAGTATGATATCTTCATTTAAAATAAACTTCTGTTCTGTATGAGTGCTTACCCATCTGTCTTTATCTCTTTTAGGTGGTACCCGTCCTGTCCAGGTGATCATAACTGAGTCTGGCAACCAACCCAACTCCCACCCTATTCAGTGGAACGCCCCACAGTCTGCCCACATCACCCAGTACATCCTCAAATGGAAAGTGGTGAGTTTTTTTAGATATAAATATAGCTTCCCGGTAAAAAAGATTGCCTCTTCTTGCTCAACTCTACACTAATTCTGCATGCTTGGCTTTTGAATACTGTCCCATCGCTTGTTCTTCTAACATTCTTTATCATGTTTTCAGAAAAACACTAATAACCCATGGAGAGAGGTGCTGATCCCCGGCCACCTGAACTCCTACACCATCTCAGGGCTGAAGTCGGGCATCACCTACGAGGGTCAACTGATCAGTGTGCTGCGGTTTGGACGCCGAGAAATCACCCGCTTTGACTTCACCACCAATTATGGATCATGTGAGTGGAAAGAGTCGACAGATCTCAGAGTGGAGAAGTTGCCACATTCGATCTTTCAGGATCCGAATAAGTACATTTATTTGTCCTTTAGCAATTGACAGTGCAGATACAAAGGCACAAATAACAGTAAAAGAAAATGCAATGAAATGTTAATCAAATAAAATCAAATAAGTAACCATCCATGTTACAAAAAATCAACATTATACAAAAAATATTTAAATATATAAAAAGTGTTGAAATAGCAGCCATTAATAACATTAATATATTGTTAAAGATAAATGTTTATGTACATAGCATTTTTCTAAACGGTGGTTAACAGTCTAAGGTCATTTTGTTACTCTTTTCATTCAGGCCAGTTCTTTTGCAATATCACTGCTTAATGTGCACTAAATTATGATGACAGTTCTGTTCTCAGAGGCAGCGAGTAGCCACCTCTTTTTATTACAATCTCTCTATCTTTTTTTGTGTAGTGGCGACATCAGAAGGCGAGACCGACCTGCTTCCGGCTGAGATTGACACCTCAGAGTCGGTGACTGAAATTACCTCCAGCAGCTTTGTCATCTCCTGGGTTTCCGCCTCCGACACGGTGTCTGGTTTTAGAGTGGAGTATGAGCTCAGTGAGGAGGGACGGGCGACTGGGGAACCCCTGGTGCTAGGTAAGACCAGATGAACCCTTTACAAACTTGAATACATGCAAACAAATAAACATTTAAATAAGACGGCACTCTTAATTTGTCAGCAACAAAATGTCTTTATTTAACTGCTTTAAAAAATGTGAATGTATGTAAACTAATCTATTTTTTTCTTCCTTCAAGACCTGCCCCACACGGCTACCTCAGTGAACATTAATGAGCTTCTGCCTGGGAGGAAGTACACTGTTAACGTCTATGAGGTTACAGGAACCGGAGATGACAACCTCATTCTCTCTACTACACAAACCACAGGTTAGTAGACACACACACACACAAACACACTTTCTTCCTTTTTATTTATCCAATTCTCACAAAAAAAGAAATACAAATCAAGTGATCCTGTAAAAAAAAAAGAAAAAAAGATGTGTTTATAATTTTCCTTCTCGCATTTGAATGTTCCACAGCACCTGATGCTCCTGTTGATCATGAAGTGGATGCGGTGGGAGAAACTTCCATCAAGATCAGCTGGGAAAAACCAGTGGCTCCAATCACTGGTATGCTACGACACATGTAACAGCCAACATGTTTCCCCATTTGTGGCTAGTTCAAACCCATCTGTGTCATTTACGTACGCAAGATGATCCGTATTTTCTCTCTCTCCGCGCAGGCTATCGTGTGGTCTACACGCCTTCACTAGAAGGTGAAAGCACTGAACTGACTCTCCCTGACACGGCAACATCTGTGACACTGAGTGACCTCCTACCTGGGAAGCTGTACAACATCAGTATCTACTCTGTGGAAGACAGCCTGGAGAGCAAGCCTCTCTTTGTACAGGTCAACACCGCTGGAAATCCACTGCCTGGTAAAAGACTGTTGTTATGAAAAGTTGAACTTGGAACACGTGTGTTGTTTTATTCTTCTTCAAAGGCCACTCATGCTTCAACATGTGTAATTCAGCCTCAATCACGCCCCTCTAAGTGTATCTATCAATGCCCACATTTGCAGTAAAGCCTCCTAGTAAGGAAGTATCGAGCCCAGTACACAACTCTTTTCCAGGGTCTCCAAGACTGCAGAATTATCCAAACGTTGTGTTGTCCACGTAGCTCTTTTAAACAACACAACCCCCAGGTTCATAGCGGCAAACAAACCTCTACACCACGATAAGGCGATGGTCCAGGAGAGTTTGGATTAATATGCTATGGGGCATGTTAAAAGTAGTGTCTCTTGACCAAAGTGTGTGCAATGACCAAAATCTGCCGATTCAGATCTAAATATCATCATTTGATCCTTGGCGCCCCCCTGCTCGGCCATATCTGTATACTTGTTTGAGCTATTATTCTCTATACTCTGCAGAATCAACCTGAAATTCATCCTGTGGCCTTGTCACTCATGTATGTCAAAGTTTCCAATTCTTTAAAATGGAAAATAACAATGGAAAGTGAAGTCATCAAGTTCACAGCTGTTGGACTCTTATTCTAAGTTATGTGAAAAAAATAGTTGTAGTCTGCCAGGTCAAATGTGCTGTTGAGCCAGTTGAGGTAATGCAGAAAAAGTGTGCTTGTTTGTAAAGTTTGGATAGAATAAAAATGCCTAATGGAACATTTCTGCTGCCATCTTTGGACAGTTAAGGATATCCTCTTCTGTAGAGTTTATTATTATCTTCAAACATTGACATATGATTGTTATAATTGATATTATTTATAAGCTTTTAAAGCTCAAGCATCTTTAAGCCTTTAGAACAGCTGCACCCTGTTAGATTAGTTTTTTTAAATTGTGTTTTTAAAGATAAAAACCAAGATATCATGGAATGAAATTGACATACCTACCTTGTTTAGCAGATAATATTACGAAAAAGTACCCATGATTCTGTATTTTATTGTGTATTTTAAGCTGATAAGAGGTATCCACTTCTCTTTTGCTTGGTAGTAGGCGTTCTCTCATCTAAATAGATTTTTAATTCTAAGTGGTTTTCCTGTCCACAGAGGTTCCTTCTCCTACAGACCTGCAGTTCTTCGAGGTGACGGACAACAAAATAGTTCTGACCTGGACCGGCCCAACCGGCTCCATCTCTGATTACCGGGTTACCGCTCTCCCTGTGGAGGAGGGACACGATTCGATTTCGATGCTGATAACTCTTCCTGTAACACAACACGCCTACATGGAAGTTACTAACCTAGTTCCAGGAAAACTGCACCGCTTCAGTGTCTACACCCTTCAAGGCAGAGAGGAGAGTCTACCACTTATTGGGGAGCAAACCACTAGTGAGTATGACAGATGCCCTCAGGTCTTCAAGGACATGACTTGCACTCAAACATCCGTCACTGATAGTCGATTTTCCTTCTACAGAGAAATTAATTAAAACTAGTGGCCCTGCGGAAGGTTTCAAAGCATGAAACAAATGATGGAGTGCTCTGGGAACTGTTCCGTAGTGTAATATATAATGTGTGTTCAGAAGCCCTGAAGCAACACAGAAAAAAGAGATTTGGTGATGGAGTCTGATTTTCATTGTTATCTGTCTTGTGTTTATGACATTTGGTTTTCCCAGGACAATCCTTTTAAGTAACTTTACCGTTTATCTGTGAAACTTTAAACAAATTATAGAAAGATGAAGGATCATTTTAGATAACTTTTATTTCATCTATAAAAAAAGGTGGACTATAGTTTTATATCAGGATAATGGAGCTTGTTGTTGTCATACTCATTTTTGCCACAAGAGGCTAAATTGCAACACTACCCAATTTTGTAAGTGGGACTTGTATGATACATTTTTTCTTCCTGGTGAACTATGTCCTTTCTTTTCCACTGTACCTGTATAAAAATGGTCACGGAAAAACCAGTTTCTTCCATCACTAATATTTGCCTCTGAGGGCTTCCGTACTTTTTTTTTTCTTCCTTTTTCTTTTCTTCAAGGAGCTAAACCTCTGAAACGTCTTGTAAAGTCCTTCCTTCTTAACACAAAATCAAGCTGTCCACATCTGACAGTGTTTATTGATGTTTCTTTTTAGAGCCTGAAGCTCCGAGATATATCCGTTTCACCGAGGTGACTGAGGACAATGCTGTGATGATGTGGTCCGCCCCTCATGGTAAAATCTCCGGCTACCGCCTCTTCCTCACTGTGGAGGGCTCCAACCCCAAGCAGCTGCGCCTGCCCGCCCGCCTCTCTCAGTACACCCTCCTGAACCTGAGGCCTGCTACCAAGTACACTGCTACATTACATTCAGAGCAGGACAACACACTGAGTAGAGGAGAGAGCGCTGTGTTTACCACCAGTAAGTGTCGGATGCGTATAAACACAAATATAAAGCACTGTTTTCTAGGGCTGCGCAACAAAAAATTCAAAATATGGACGAGTGCAATATCAAAATCACATTTAGCCCAATCATTGGTATAGGAAGAATATTTGAAACCATCATTCTAATAAAATATTGTAGCACTGCCTAAAAATGTATTTTTTCTTCCAGAACTGCCTGGTACGAAGTACACTGGGAACGTCTTTGAGGTTACAGATAAAGGTGAGGACAATCTATTTCTCTCTACAACACAAACCACAGGTCAGCAGATACACAACACACTTTCATGTTTCTTTATTTTCTAAGTCTCACAATAAAATACAGTTGCTCAACTTTAATGTGTTGTTTCCAATCCCAAACCCGAAAGCTGCCTTCTCACATTTAAATTGTTTCACAGCCCCTGATGCTCCTGCTGATTATGAAGTGGGCACGGTGGGAGAAACTTCCATCATGATCAGCTGGGAAAAACCAGTGGCTCCAATCACTGGTATGCTACGACACATATAACAGCCGACATGTTTCCCCATTTGTTGCTAGTTCAAACCCATCTGTGACCATCCCATATTCAAAATGATATGTAATATGTCTTCCTCCGCGCAGGCTATCGTGTGGTCTACACGCCTTCACTAGAAGGTGAAAGCACTGAACTGACTCTCCCTGACACGGCAACATCTGTGACACTGAGTGACCTCCTACCTGGGAAGCTGTACAACATCAGTATCTACTCTGTGGAGGACAGCCTGGAGAGCGAACCTCTCTTTGTACAGGTCAACACTGCTGGAAATCCACTGCCTGGTAAAAGACTGTTGTTAAGAAAAGCTTAAGTTGTTGAAAATAGCATCCTGGTTGGTGTGCAATGACCAAAATCTGACTATTCTAATGATTCTGTTCTTTAAAGGTCACGTATTATGCAAAATCCACTTTTTCATGTCTTTTATACATCAACATGTGTCCCCTCTGTGTAAAGAGATTCTGAAGGTTTCAAGAAAAAATATTCGCTCACTTTTTGTCCTGATCCATTTATATAAAAACCTGTCTGAAAATGAGCTGATCAGATTTTGGCCACTTTATGATGTCATAACGATTTTTTGGCTTGTGTAACCATTAGCCAATCACCAACCAAGGTAACACCCACCACCTTATCACCTGAATCTCCTCCTAGAGCTCCATTGTGTGTTTTTTAACCAAATATCTCACAGAGGGGCGTGGGGAGTGCCCCTTATTTTCATCTAAAGTAACAGACAGAGAATCAGCACTTTTGAAACAGGGCTGAAACAAAGGGGATTATGGGATGCAACAACGATCTGTTTGGTATTTGGAGCCAAACACTTCAGAGACATGTTTTGTATATATATGAGACCTATAATATATTGATCAAAAACAGTATAATAGGGGACCTTAAAATATCATAATTTGATCATGTGCCCCCCCCTGCATCGCCCTATCTTAATACATGTTTGACTTGCTCAAGTGAAGTGATCAAATAATATAACAC